TCGTTTAACGCTATAAGGCCCAATACGTTTCCAGTCGAATTTCTTAGAGGGTCGCTTTGTTAGAATATGACGGGTCGATAGAAAAACCTTATCTCCTAAATAATATCGAGGAGCTGGAGTTCGATTCCTATTGGTTGATTCTTCTTGTATCCTTTGCGCCCTGAACATTTCTTCTCTTAGGAAGTCCACCACATCCTTCATTTCCCTTGCAATACGATTCGCTTGATCCTCCGCCGTCGTTCGACCATGTTCCAAGGGCCCAAATGTTATCCTAGGATTCCTTCCCGAATTAGCATAAAAGGGGGAAACTTTTGTTGTTTCGGAAACGTGGTTATTGGTTGCAAATTCAGCCATTGGTAGCCATCGGACCCAGTCATCTTGTTGATAGGAAACATAGCTTCGGAGGTATTGTTCCATTATGGCATTGATTCTTTCTGTCTGGCCATCTGTTTGAGGGTGGAATGCAGTAGAGAACTTTGGTGAGATTTCCAATCGATCACAAAGGGACCTCCAGAATTTCGCGACGAACTGTGTTCCTCGATCGGATACCATGGTGTCGGGTAATCCATGTAGCTTCCAGACGTTATCAATATATAGCCTTGCTACTTCCTGTGAGTCCGCCTCCTTTGTCGTTGGTATCAGATGTCGCATTTTGGTTAGTCTATCCACCACGACCAAAATCGCATTATACCCATCACTCTCAGGAAGATCAGTCACAAAATCCATCGAGACATCTGTCCAGGGTCCATCGGGAATTGGCATAGGGCGAAGTACTCCATAAGGTGCATTGTGTGATGCCTTACTACGGGTGCACACATTGCAATTCCTAATATACTGATCGACGAACTTCCGCATCTGTGGCCAGTAATATTCTCGACTTAGGAGCTCCAGAGTCTTCGCTCTACCCGGATGTCCTGCAGATGGTTTGTCATGGTATTCTTTTAAAAGCCTTAGTCGAAGGTCATCGTCGTCTGGTACATATAGCATGCCTCGATAAAGCAGCCGACCGTTATTATCTTCCATACATTCGGCAAGTGAAATTTTATTTGAATGACGTATGCCATTCCGAAGCATATTGAGGACCTTATTTGGGAAACTATCCACTTGGTAAGCCTTTGAAAATAACTCCTCTACAGTGGACGCTCCTTCAGCGGATTCATTTGACAAAGAACCCGCGAACAAACTTAGCTTAGTATCCAAATTTTTTCGCTTCAGAATCACTTGACTCTGATGCGTCAACCGTTCATCCCCCTCTTTAGGTAGGTCACCTGAACTCCTAGTCAATGCATCTGGTTTTGTTCCTTGTTTTCCTGGCCGAAATTGTATAACGAAATCGAAGCGTGAAAGAAATTCAGACCAACGGGCTTGTCGACGATTTAACAATTTTGTTGTCATAAAATACTCAAGATTCCGATGGTCGCTAAGAACTTCAATTGGAAATTGAGCTCCCTCCAGATGATGTCGCCATTCTTCAAAACATCGTATAATTGCTAAAAGTTCTTTGTCATAGATTTCGTAGTTGCATTCTGCGGGAGAATGTTTCTTAGAAAAGAAAGCAACTGGATGTAGGATTCCTTCGTTGTCACGTTGAGATAGGATTCCTGCTGAAACATAGTCGGATGCATCGGTTTCTATCACAATTTTTCGATCTGGATTGAAATGAGCTAGTATCGGTGCCGTTGTAAACATCTTTTTCAAAGTCTGAAATGCTTCCTCCCTTTCATCCGTCCATTCAAATTTAACGTTTTTCTTTGTCAAGGCTGTAAGCGGAGCAACAATTTTCGAATATCCCAAAATAAACCGTCGGTAGAAGTTTGCAAATCCTAGGAATACTTGAACATCACGAAGGTTTGTCGGTGTAGTCCATTCCAAAACATCGATAACTTTTTTTGGATCCATTCTATTCCCATTCGGAGTAAGGATTAAACCGAGATATTTCGTTTCCTGAACTATAAATTCACATTTTTCAGGTTTAAGGTGAACATGATTCTCATCGAGTACCTTTAGAATCTTTTGAATGTGTTTTCTATGTTCTGATAGAGTTTCGGAATAGATAAGGATATCGTCTAGGTATGCCGTTACGAATTGATCGAGATAGGGACGTAAAATATCATTGATCCAATGTTGAAATGTAGCAGGGGCATTAGCTAATCCAAATGGCATTACTGTATATTCGAAATGTCCATATCGAGTCCGAAATGCCGTTTTCCATTCGTCTCCCTCCGCTATCCTGATTTGATTATATCCCCAACGTAAATCCAACTTTGTATAGTATTTTGCTCTTGACAACTTAGCTAAGGTTTCCTTTAACAATGGTAACGGATATCGATTTTTAATTGTAATCGCATTTAGGCCTCGATAGTCAACACAAAGTCGAAGAGTTCCATCGTTTTTCTTTACGAACAATATAGGTGCTCCCGCTGGTGATTCACTGGCTCGAATGAATCCTTTAGGTAGATTTTCATCAAGATATTCCCGTAGTGCTTTCAATTCAATTTGAGACAATCCGTATATAGGTCCATATGGTGGTCGTTTACCTTCTTCCAGTACTATCTCAATATCATGGGATGGTCGATGTGGTGGGAGAAGTGAAGCATCGTATTCTTTAAACATATGGAGAAGATGGTGAAACTCTTTTGGTACTAATTGTTCAATATTGACCGTAGATTTTTCAATTGCTGAAACGATGACCGTATGGTGTTCCGGTAAGGGAATCGAGATGCCATGAACAATGACTGCAGTTCCACTGAGTGAACAGTATTGACAACAGCTTCGAGAATCAAAAACAAGTAGATTTTCTTTTGGTCGAATCGTAACATCATGTCGTCGCATCCAAGGTATTCCCATCACAATCGGATAATGTCCTAACTTCGTTACAAAACATGGCGCAACTTCCCGATGACCATGAATGTCTAGCGAAACATCGACAATATGGGTAATTTTTCCTGACTCAATAGGCCTTCCATCTATAACGTCTACATAGTGAGGTATTTTGAGGGGGGTCATTGTAAGATCGTTGTGGCGTGCAAAAGATTCATCAATAAAAGCATATCCTGATGCTCCGGTATCAATAAGGGCGTAGGTAGGTATAAAAGAATTTTTATTCTGTGAAATCGAACAAGTTACTACAAGTTGATTTTCGTCCATTTCCTCCTCTGATACCGAAAAACCAGAAATACACATCCTAGAAAAATCCTTAAATGGTCCCTGCGCTAAGCCACTTAGTGCAGGGACAAATCTTTTGCCGACTCGTTATCGCTTCCGTCATTTTCTTCCACTGTCAATGCCGCTCCTCTCATCACAGGCCTTCTTGGTTGATTCCCCGTTGCCCTCGCTTGGGGGCAATCCCTAACCATATGTCCAACACCTCCACAATAAAAACATCGGCCCTCAACTAAGCGGGCATTTCTTTCGGTAGGGGAGGGGCGACGACGCCCTCCAGATAGATCCATTGGTACATCACCTCCCGGGCTGGATGAGGGATGACTTTCAGTAACAGGTACATTGGCGACTGGGGCGGCAGCGCGGGGAGCAGAAACAGGACTTGCTGGTGGAGGACGAGGGGCCGAAGTAGTAGTCCAAGGTTTTTTACCTCCTCGCTTAGCTTCTGCCGCTCGGCGACGATTATCCAACCGTTGCAGAAGTGTCGCACAAGCATTTACCGTTGCAGGAGTGTCATGGTGTATCATCGATTCATCGAGTTCCGCATTAATACCTTCCATCAAAGCCTCAATCCGAGAGACTTCATCCATACCCGACTCAGCAGCATATCGTTGGAACTCAGCAAAATAATCGGCGAACGTTCGATTTCGTTGACGGATGTTCCTAAGATTCCTCCTAGCCGTACGCATCCGATCGGGATCCCCGAAAGCAGTATCCAAAATCTCATAAAATCGTAGCATAGAGGGTAAAGCAATACCTTCTTCGCCAACATATTGTAAAAACTGATTAGCGGCAACGCCTTCCAATCTGCTGAATGCATAGGATAGTTTAGACTGTAGCGTAGGATAGCGATCGGCATTTCCCAATAGCTTAATCTTCATTTGTTGCTTAAATAGGTGTAACCTTTCTCGATCACGATCCCCCTTGAATACCTCAGGGTCTGGAAGCTTCTCCGACCGATAGGTAGTATCTGTAACGGGTGGTACTGGGGGTGCAGGTGGGACATTGTCTTCGTTGGGTGCTTGCACAGGGGCGACAGCCTCAACAGGAGCCTGTTGAGCTCGGGCAGCAGCAAGATCTTGCTCAAACCTTCTCCTCGCCCTCTCGGCCTCCGCTTCTACCTCCTGTAAATCCGTTGCATATTGAGCAAGACCATGTTGGCACTGTTGGAGGAGTGCATAGGCTTCAGTTCCAACAGTATCATCGACCTGTGGATGCGCTTGAAAAAGGGCTTGGAGACTATCGCTGAGTTGTTGATAATCAATAGATGCATGTTCCGATATTGTAAACTATGGTATTGTATTGGTTGGCGATAGAGGACGCAACCTACGTATCACGGGGACCGTAGGCGATAGACTATGGTGCCAAGGAATACAAACTAGGTAGTGACGTAGACGTGGACGTAGACGTAAAGGTATGCTTTGACTATAGACTATGGGTGGCTCTACCTGGTATGATAAACCGATTAGAGCCCTATGACGTAGTGCGAACAAGAATAGTATTCGTGGAATAAATACAGAGGTTGCGTAAGGAAGAAAGAGAAGAAGGAAAACAAACAAAAGCACGAAACAACACCCCCTTATATATCCATCCATAATCCAACAATGACTAATACCTTCGCATAACAGAAACCCAAAGAACATAACAGAAATCTCCATTACAAATCCTAATTCCACTGCACGATACCTCCTTCCCTCATCCCAGTTCATCACCTAGCCGAAATACGTAGCTGCCGTTACATTCTTAGGCCAACTTGGATTCTGACCTCCAGGTTACCGCCCGGTGTGTTTTCTAACACTAATTCGGATTTCAATCTCAAACAACGCTATGTGCAATACCTGCAACCCAATATGTGAGTGACGATCCACGACCGACATTCCATATTGTGTATTGTTGCAGTCTAGTACTGGAATGTCGGACAGGATTTTCAGGTTGCCCGGGAACCGTCGCCCCACAATTCCGGGCTCCGTGGCTATGGGTCGAACAGGACAATCCGAGTCCATTCCTATCATCAGGTATACGTATACAGGGGGTCATGGTCGTGATTGTGGGGGCGGAGGTGGTGGTTGGGGGCCATGCAGTAGGGTAACTTACTGTGAGTCTTGGCGACCCATCCTGGTTCACTCCCGGCACCGCCACTCACCGGGCGGATACAACGATCGATGACTGCATGGTACCGAACACAACGTCTCGAGCCCACGATCAAGACAGCATACGAAATTCAATCATGCCGCGTTTCCCCATCCTCTGCTTCGATGGAATATATAAATTTCGGATTCTGAACTCCGGATTACCGCATTAGGCGAATCCCACTATTTGTCTCCGCTGTCTTCTTACGCTGTCGGATTCTTTAGTCCAGGTCACCGCTTTACTAATTTTCAACACTCATAACCCTAACTACCCAAATACAGGTTTCAACCACCACCAAATACACATTGTATTTCATTTTGACCGAACATTGTATTTCGTACATGTAACCAATTCAGATTTGAACGCTCATAACCCTAACTACCCACATCCAGGTTCCAACCACCACCAAATACACATTGATCTGTTACATTTTTACTGAAGATTGTATTTTGTACACGTAACCAAACCAACTTTCAACGCTTGTAACCCTAACTACCCACATCCAGGTTCCAACCACCCCAAATACACATTCAAGTATTTCATTTTGACCGAAAATTGTATAATGTACACGTAACGAAATCAGATTTGAACGCTGATAACCCTAACTACCCACATCCAGGTTCCAACCACCACCAAATACACATTGATCTGTTACATTTTGACCAAAAATTGAATTTTGTACCAATAGAATAACAACGACCTGAAGAAAAATAGATAGAAAAGTGTCACTTCAGTATTCTGTCACACATTGTAATTCCGATACGTAACCATGAAGGTTGCAATTACCAGTCTTCGGGTTGTATCGTATTATTGTTCTAGACACTACTGAGCAATATTGAATCGCTGGATAGATATGCATGTCTACTAGGACAATATGTAAAGCAAACACTAATGGTGAAATTGGTTACTACTGTTTGTGATAGCTTGAGAGGTATAATATCAATCGAAACAGAAACTGCATCAGAGTTTGCAATTGAGATTTGTTGGTATGGTTTGCTATGATTCGATTTGTATGCACACTTGTTGTGACAGAATGTAAATCAGGAATACTAAATAAGATTTGTGAGAATTTTTGACAATCGCTTGATACGTATGCATACAAATCGGAATGGCAAGTAAAGTGTATACCGATAAGAAAAGCTTTCTGTATGATGGTTGAATACTAAATAGGAGTCGATACCTGTCAGGAAAATATTCGAATCAGTAATTAGCAGTGAACTTGGTTGATATCATTAATAATTGGTTCATACTTACTAGAGGTACGCTACCTCGCGACCGCGAGGTCCCCTTCTCTCCCACCTATGTGTAGTATCTAGGCACCTCCAGTAATTAGTTGATTTTGTCTTTGCCGTCTCATGTTCTGTTTTCCCGGCCATGTCACATAAATGCCTAAATCTTGCTCTGGAGATCTATTTCCGATTTTCAATGCCAGGTCCAGTGCCAGCTCTAATGCCCGCTCCGGTACGAGCTAAAATCAAGGTCAGCCCCAGTGTCAGCTTCGGTCTCGGCTCAAATATATGCCAGCTCTAGCCGGAGCCGCCCGAATGCCATCTCTAATGCCCACTCCAGTGCCAGCTCCATTAGATGCCGGCTTCAGTGACAGCTCAGATACATGCCAGCTCCAGTGCCCGCTTCTCTGCAAGCTTCAGTGCCCACTTCTCTGCAAGCTCCAGTGCCCGCTTCGCTTCCAGCTCCAGTACCAGCTCTGATGCCCGCTCCGGTGGCAGCTCCGGTGCCAGCTCTAACGCACACTCCTGTGCCCACTCTTGTGCCCACCCCTCTTCCCGCTCGTGTTCCTGCTCGTGTTCCCGCGCTTGTGTCCACTCCGGTGACCGCTCGAGTGACTACTCTGGCGTTCGCCTCGATGCCAGCTCCTGTGACAGCTCCAATGCCGGCTCCAGTGCCAGCTCTGATATATTCCAGCTCACTTCACCGTTTCTCCACCGCACTGGCACCTCCTCTCCCCCTCTTACTGGTCTTTCCTCTCCCTCTTCGCACTCCCCGCCAACTACTGTTCATCTCTCTCGCCCATTCTGCTCATACTTGACTACTAAATAGCTATAATTATTATTTAATCATAAAGGGTTCCGTTGGTTGGGCTGGTCTCATGGGTAAGGTCAGGGTTAGGGTTTGGGCTTGGCAGGAAAATAGGCAGGGTAACGGCCCTGAGCAGGCAGGGTAACGCCTAAAAAAGGTAGGGTAACGCCTAAAAAAGGTAGGGTAACGCCTAAAAAAGGTAGGGTAACGCACAAAAAAGGTAGGGTAACGGCTCAGAGCAGGCAGGGCAACCGCACTAGTCGGGTAGGGTAACCATCTCAAAATAGGCAGGGTAACAGAACAAAATCGGGCAGGGTAACTGCACCAAACACAAGAATTTGATGTGTCGTGCTTACAAAACACCCCTGTCGCTGTCAACAAATCAGATTGCAACAATCTCAGAAGAATTATATTCCAGTACATATTAGATACGTTCTTATCAGAACAGCAAATTTAACAGTTATTGACAATCAAAACCTTTTGTATTATTTACAATCCTTTGATGGGGATGTATCAGAACAGCGAGTGTATCAGAAATTCAAATTCTCATTTGTTACAATCGTTCATGAAGGTTTGAAAGCTATGAAAATTTATTGGCACAGTAAAATACTGAAATTGATACTCAATGTATTTAATGGCTTGATTGGTACACCATGTTCTGGATCAATATTGAATAGATTGAATACTGCACTACGGTTTGCAAAATATCTTCTCCCAAAACACGAGGTTGCGGCTTTCCAATCCATTCGGAAATATATAGAATCTATGATCATATTCTGAACTTGAGAGTGAACAATATTCAGCACTTATCTCTAAAACTCATTGTTTTAATTGATAACAGTCTTCATAACGTGTATCCTGATATTTTGTATTTTTGTAAACTGGTAGGAAATTGACGATGTCCGCAAGATAACATCTGTTCCACCTCACCTACCTATTAACAGTATGCGCCCGAATTCCCGCAAGCCTTTAGAATTAGGATTATGAATGCTTTTGATTGAAAATATCATATTTGAGCTGACTAGCGGTCAGTATAGCACTCAATTGCTTGAACGTTCTCAGTGTAACCCAATTCAGATCATAAAACCTTGTCCGATTTCATAGATCGATTGAATAATATAGTAGGTTACAAATGGTCGAATTGATCAGAAAACTTCTATGGATTTCTAGAAGTTTCCGTCGATTTTAAGGGTATGAGTTACTTGAGATTTGTGATTGCTAAGCTTTCTTTATGTATATTAAGGGGCTTTGCCCTCGATTCTATTCTTTTTCTCTCTCTTTTCTTCTCTTTCTTTTGGTACGCAAAGGCTTAGGTAATCTACACTGGCTATTGCTATTCAAGTACTATTTTCTCTTCCTTTATAAGGAGGTCATCTCACTTCTCCGACCTTAACACCGCTAGACCTAAACTACTGTAAGTTTCTCCAACCCCTCTCGCTGATTAACCTACCAGCCCCTATGACCATCTCCCGTACCCTGCGGAATACTCGCTACCCAACTCACTAGGATTACGTTGCGTCGTAATCCGCACCATACGACATGTCCACCCTCAACCGACCTACATGGGTCTCATCTAACAAAATCGAGTAGTTTAACCATCAGTACGAATAGAATACAGCTGCCCTGTTTGACCACCTCCCTACTATGTTTTAAAGCATCCGACACGAGAGGGATAGTGCTCGTACACTGCTCTCCGCCGTCCACAAAACCATTGGCTACCTGGAAGAGCAAGTAATACAGGTCAATCTTGACCTCAATGTTGACCACACCGCCTCCGCCCCCAATGTTCCTATCCCCATTTTCGCTGCTACTGCACCAACCACTGTCTCCACCTTTGGGTCTGAAACTTTCCCCGAAAAGTTTGATGGCATCCGGACCAAAATCTCCGGATTCGTTACCCAACTCTGAATGAAGCATGAAGTCAACCATAATCGGTTCCACAATGGGACAGCAAAGGTTATCCATACGGTCAGCTGTTTGGAGGGAAGAGCCCTTGATCAGGTAATACAACTTGTTAATGCCAATCCTGCTGACTTCTTCTCCTCTGTCACCTTCTTCGTCGCCCACATGGAAGGCTCATTTAGAGAACTAAACACACCAAGTACCAACCACGGCCAATTCGTCCCCCTGAGGCAAGGCAAAGGAGACTTTGCCACCTACTCCTCACAGTTCATCAGAAACGTGTCCCACTTGCATTACAACAAAGGAGTCAAGATTGACGAATTGGCGGAAAGATTGTCTGACAACTTTAGAGACGTCATGACCTATCGAACGGACAGACCCAATATGGTGGAAGCATATGCGACCATGTCAGTGACGATCGATAAAAACATGTGACTGAGGTGCTATGATGAGGCACAACCGGGATTTGCATTTCTAATAGTGTAAATAAAGAAAGCGAGTTTTGATGATACTCGTTCAGAAAGAAGAAAAGGGAGTTTGTATGTTTGAACGTTCTCAAGTCTAGAAAATTATAACTTTAAGGGGTCTTCTCTCTATTAAAGATCCGTTGATGATGAGAGGCCAACCTGGGGCAATACCGAGTCCCTTATAGGAATACGGCACGTTTGCTCAAGTTCTTTTTCCGACTGATAATCTGCCTGTTGATAGTCGGGGGTACAGCAACTATTTTTTATCAAGGAAGAGGAGAGTAACTACGACACCTTGAATGAACTTCTGTCCGAGTCAAATCATGCAATTTGCCGAAAGTTGTGATCGGAATCTTGAGAACTATTGGAAACAGCCGACCAGATAATAATTGTTTATTCTAACTTTATTAGAACCGATTTGGGTGATTGTAAACCGAAGTTTTGCTTTAGTAGCTTGAGTCGCACTCCTACTCCCCAAAGATGCTCCGGAGCAGAACAGGAGCATTCCTGAAGTTTGACACTGCGGAGGTTATTGTTGGGAATCAAAACGTGTTTTTGGAATTGGATTTTCCATGAGCTCCGAGACACCGCCAGAATCATTTCTGTCGTGCTAAAGCGTGGTAATTGAGCGTCGGTTGCAGAGATATGAAACCCCAAAGATTCGACTGCCTAAGTAGCGAACTCCCGTCCTGGGTTCACTGTTCTATCAGCCATTTTTGTAATTCTGTTCCAGGCTTGCTCAGTCCCCTATTTTTGACTTGTAAGACTTCTTACTCATTGAGATCACTGTCCTCTATACCAATAAAGGTAGTGGCTCAACTCCCCTTATCGTCACGCGTCGATGAAGAACAAGCTGCTGTAACTTGAAGTCGGTGGCTTAACTGATGGAATATGTTCTTTTGTAACAGCCTGATAGTGGCCTTGTTATATTACTCCCCTCTATTGTAGACTCATTTTGAGTCCACTGTAGTGTTACTGGAATATTAGTATTTGGAATAGAAGAAAAACTGTAGCTCTATTGGTGATTACGTATAAACTACATCTCTGTTTCTATCTCCATCAGAGAAAAAAAACTCTAACATGAAATGCCTTTTAAAAACAAAGCAAATGACATATTCTCCACTCTTGTCGTAGAAACTTCCGTTCCACTAGTGGAGATTTCGATGTTAGCAAGAATCTCTCTTTTTCCCTTGTCTTTTTTACGCGGGTTTCCTCACGCTTCGGTTTTCTATCGTTTCTTGCATTGTTTTCAGGAAAAAATTGTATCCTGGCTCTGTCAGACCGATGAAAAACCTGGCACAGGAGAGTTGGTTTTTGTTCCCGGATTTCTTCTGGGATACAGAGCTACTTACGCCGTGTTTTGAGGATCCCTAGAGTTTCACCGTATTTTCCGAGGTTTTTGTGGGTATTTTTGATGAAATTCTTTCATGGCCTCGTCGGCACTTCCTTGCAGAATTTTGTATGGTTCCCAGGAGTCTTCCGAACGATAACCCTCCCAAACAATGCGATACTCTACAAACATTTCCTAATGCCCAGCCTGTTGCCATCGGCTATTAGTTATTTCTTGGAGAGCGTAACTGTATTCTCCTTCGACCTCATCTGGAGTAGGAGGGACTTCAGTGCGTTGAGGGTATCTCAGTCCCCGATAGAACTCCAGCACAAATATTTGGAAGACATCATGAATGTTCCATTGAGAGGGAAGCTTCAGACTGTAGAACGCAACAACAAGTTTCTCATCAACCTCAAAGAGACATAGTTTCTTGTAGTCAAGCTTGCTTGAGGGTCGATCGGCAATCATATCGCGTCGGTCCATCATCACCTTATACACATCTTTAGGTTCTGGAGCTTCCATATGCTTCTGGTCATACCATTTCTTCTGCCGGGCCTGTGCCTGAAAAATATCAGTCCTCATAGTTTTCCAAAGAGCTTTCCACTTGACCTTTAGTACGGCGCTGGAAACATTGGCATTGTCCAGCTTCCTTCTGCGCGAATGCCAATCGGAATCAGGCTCGAACCCATAGTTCGCGTAGAACTGAGATACTTTAGTGGACTATTGGGTTGCTGTTTTGTAGGCGTACTGTGCAAGCGGCAGTAACCCTGCCCAATCGTCCTACTGGTAGGACCAAAAGTTTCTGAAATATTGCTCTAGCGTTTGATTGACCCTCTCAGTTCACCTGTCAGCTTGAGAACGATATGCCGTAGACAGACAAAGGTTGACTCCGAGAAGCTTGATCAATGAATGCCAGAACTTGCTTTCGAATCTGAAGTCCCGATCAGAAATGATTACTTCGGATAGTCCATGTAGTCGCCATATTTCTTGAAGGAATATATGTGAAAGTTCCTTGATTGTTGTCTCACCGAAGGTGTGATCCATAGTCTCCTCCAAGGAGAATTACTTAGGGTCTGAAGCTGAATGAGATCAGATTTTGTCCAGAAGC